TGTCACTGTGCTTGCTGGTTATTCCAGCTTCTGATGAGCCCCTCAGTCTGGGAGCTGGGACTGTGTCAGCTTAAGCCAATCACATGTAGTGATAATAAGAGAGATCTAAGTTACCTTAAATCATCTGGAGAGTGGGGGATATGTGCTACTTTCACAGCAAGTAGGGCTGAATCAGTTGGGCAAGTAGGGCAGAGTCAGTTGGGCCAGCAATGTCCTCCCATTTGGAGATTTTAACATGTACATTTGATAATGTGACTAGCTGGTTCACATCCTCAATGTATCTTCTTTACCTTTAGGATGAACTTAGAATGCTTACCAAGGCCTTCAAGTTCCCACTATCCTTTTAATTTTTTTATAGATTTATTTATTGATGCATACAAGAACTGGGGTACAGGCCAGAGGTTTGGGGGTGGGGGTTTGAGAAGATTCACCAGAGACAGAGTGAAGATACACAGCTGAGGGGAGCAGCAGGCAAGATAGCAGAGGTCTGCTGTGCCATGTGGGTCACCTTCCTGGCTCGGGATAGAACTTGTGCTGCAGTGGTTATGGCCAGCTTCATAGTTCTGTGCTTTAACCCACCACCAGGGAGGGCCCCCACCACCCTTTTTAACTCCATCTCAAAATCTTCTCTGTCTTTCTCATTGTGGCACAACCACAATGGTTTTCGTTTGTACCTAATCTAGTCTATGCCCTTTTCTTCTAAGGGCATTTAAACACTGATATAGACTAATGCTTGTGTCTACCCACCACTGCTGCCAATTTATGTTGAAATCCTAACCCAGTGTGATAGTATTAGAAAGTGGAACCTGTGGGTGGTGATTATGCATACAAAGAAATAAATTTCTGTTGTTTATATGTCACTTAGTTGATGACATTCTGTTTTAGCATCCATACTAAGACAGACATGCTGGCCCCACTCTCTGGAATTTTCTTCTTTCTTCTATTTCCCCATCTTTTTACTTTGTTTGGCCATCAACTTAAAGATCCTTTCCCCCCAAAATAATCCATAAGTTCTCAGTGAGCTACGTCCATTAACTTCTCTCTTGGCCCTCTAAACTTCTCCACAGGACTGATCACAACTGTGATACTTAACTTAGTTTTATGACTGTCAATCTTCCTTAATGTCTTTATGTTCTGTGATGGCAGAAACTGTGTTTTGTTTACAGCTGCATTGCTAAATTCTAGTTCTTGGCATAGAATATGGCACATGGGAATAATTCAACCCATTGGTCTGTGAGTGAAGATTAGTGAGTAAAGGAGTGAATAAATGAGGGCTATTATATCTGCTATTTTAGTCAGCTCAGGCTGCTATAAGAAAACAACGTAGACTGGGGGAGTTTAGACAACGGATATTTATTTCTCAAAGTTCTGGTGGTTGGGAAATTCAAGATAAATGTCTCCACTGATTTGATTCTTGGTAAAAGTGCTTCCTGGCTTGCAGGTGCAATCTTCTTACTGCATCCTCACATGAATAGAGGGGTTGAAGGGAAGTGGGGAGGAAGGCGAGAAGGGAAAGATGGTATAAGCTAGTTCTGTTCTCATGACCTCACCCTCATCTAAACCTAGTTACCTCCCAAAGGGCCTATCTCTAAGTGCCATTACACTGGAAGTTAGGGCTTGCCCACATGAATGTGGAGGGGGCATGATTCAGTCCACAGCATGTGTATTTCATCATTTGTGTCTCAATAGCTCATGTGATAGGTTCTATTCTAGGATTGCAAGAGAAGTTTAGAGAATTGAATCTCCCTAAGGGTACTCAAATAGGTATTAATAAGACTTGGACATTTTCAAGTCTAGGGATATTTGCAAGTTGATTTTTGCCTTGTGAGGCCCCTGAGGTATGATCCTCTGGTTTTGAGCCTTTTGGTCTGAGTGTAGATGTGAAATTCACGAGACCAGAATGTAAAGGAAAACTCAAATGAAAAAAAGTCCAATAAGGCAGAGAGCAGGAGGGCATCTGAACAATGAAATAAAATAAATCGAGAAGGGGGTTCACCCTCAGGGATGGAATTTGACAGGAAACTGGACCCTGGAGGGTTGGGGGTGGAATTTGCTTTTATGAAGTCAACGGTCTGACTCATCTGCCCTCACCCTCTGGGCCTCCTTCCCAGGTCCCACACCCTTTTGCTGGCTCTGACAGGTTTTTCAGAGCAGGAAAAAGAACAGCAAAATAGAAGAGCAAAAATAAGACAGCCCCCACCTTACACCAAGGTTGTGGGAGTTACAAAGATCTCTCTGTTGAAGAGATCTTAGAATAAGAACATTTCTCCCACATAGAACCAGTGTTAAGATAAGGCTGAAGTTCTCACAGTCTTCAGAAGCCTCATTAACTCATGATGTTCTGGAAATAGCATTAGTACCATTATATCGCAATTTGGATAACTTATTGAGCTCTAAAGTAGGAACTGTGGAAGGTGCTGGGGATTGAAGGAACTATGCTTGGATTCCCTTGCTCTTAGGAAGTTGTCATCTATGTGATTTCGATACTTTGGGGGTACCATCCCTCTTATTTTGGTCATTGTTTCTACAGAAAGGTGAAATATTAGTGACAGCATATGGGGGCATGAGCCATGGCTAGAACATTTAGAGCTTCCTTTTTTTGATCCCTTTTCTTACCCTCTGTAACAGGTACAGGTTTCATGGACTCCGCCCCTACTCCAGATGCTGGGACTCCAAATCCCATCAGTACCAAGGAGAAGCACCCAGGGACCTGAGGGCGGAGCTGAGCAGCCAGGTTGGGATAAAACTGGACATGTGGGCTTTGGTGGGGAGACCTGGTGGTTCGCAGCTGATCGTTTTGGCTCTCAATCGGTTTTCAGCATGCCGGTGGAGTCCAAGTCAGCAGAACTGGTAGGACATCCTAGTTAACCTGTGTTTCTTTCCCTCTTTCCCTGAGTTATTCCTTTACCTTTCTCCTTATAAATAAATCCATTATTTAACCTTTTTGAGTGTGTCCATAATACGATTGAATCGTAAGCGCACGGGTGAAGACCCACAGACAGGCAACCCAATTCACATTGGGGTACCCTGTAATACCTCCTGTTTGAAGTTGGTCCTTTAAGCTAGGACAATTCCTGCCTAAGGAGATTAAGAAGCTTGTGTACTGGACTTGTGTACTTATTTATTTAAAAATTTTATTAGAACAACTAGATACAAGAGACATTTTATTGGGGTGGAGTGGGGAATGGGATCAAAAATGATGGGGGGAGGGAAATGCACTGGACTATGGTGATGGCACACGGGTGATTTGGTGTTGGGAAGCCCAGAGGGATTACAACTGAGATGGAAAAAGGCACAAAATAATGTAAAAATAAACTATTATATTATTAAAAATATTTTATTCATTAAAAATTAATTCTTGAAGTAAGGTTGGTTGACAACACTATGTTTTAGGGCTTAGGTTCACATTTCTTCAAATATAGCATATAGCCATTTAGCTATGAGACATGTGCATAGCATTTCTGAAATTCAGAAATTCTGTCTTCCTTGGTTACCTCACTGGGTTCTTGGGGAATATTAAATGAAGTTAGGCATCGGCTTCATAAACAGTGAATCATTGCAGAGTGCAAAAATTGCAGTGATCCTGATAGAGGTGATGAGCTGGATGGGTTTTGGAGATCCCCTTACTGCCAGGCCTTTTAGGCTTTTCGCATGTATGAAGTCATTTACTCTGCAGAGCAGTCCATGGCCAGGTTACTATTATCCTCATTTTACATGTAAAGAACAGAGAGGTTAAGAGACTTTACCAAGGCCATATACTAAGTGGCAAAGCTGAGATTCAAAGACAAGCAGTTAGGACCTAAACTGGCTTCCTGTAGGCTCCATGCCACCCTTGAAAAACTGCTCTGAGCATCTGACAGAATTATATTTGGTGCCTTAATGTTCTACTTAAGCTATTGGAAGGCAGGGACTGCACTTCATCACACCCATACTTCCACCTCCCCTCCCCCCCCACAAGTACTTGCACACTGCCTATTACCTACTGTGGCATTCAGTACGTATTATCCTGAACAATTAAATAAATGTACACAGAGGTATACAGGATACTTGTATACAGAGGTATACAGTGCTCCTGTACTCGGATACATTTACTGTGCTTTTCCTTCATTTTTTTCTTGGTCAACCGTGCTCATGTCCTTCTAGCAGGTTGTTAGGCATTTCTCACTGTCTTCATTGGCTACCTTTACACTTTCTCAACTTCCAGGGTGACCCATTGTCAGGACATGAATTCTTCTGGGAGAAGAGTCTCTCCAGTGACTCAGGCTAGTACGATTATCATTTAGTGTGTGCTCATTATCAAACTGGCTAAGGACCCCATTTCCCAGTAGTGCACCCCGCTTCCTTTCTATGGGAGGAGCTGTCGGGAAGGGAGAGGCAGTGGAAGAAAACAGGTGATGGTTGCTGAGGGTGTTGGGGTAGAAGACTGCACCTTCTAATCTGGAATCCAGAGGATTTGTGAATTTTGTTTCATGGCATGCCTACAGTGAGTTTTCCTGTAAGAAAAAAATAATAACATCGCTGGCCTTATATAGTGAATTATATTTAAGGGGTTGATGGGGCGAGATGTTGGAACGTGAACATATTTGCAAAATCCTGCATAAGCGTGGACACAATGTTTTCAGTGAGTCAGGAGGGTTACTCAAATTGGGAAAGAACGGAAGCTGGTTGTCATTTACAGACCAGAGCAACTGATGAAAAGCGAGGGGAGATAAACTGACGATCCCGCGTACAATAAGTTCCAGTCAGGTTGGGGTGCACGCCTCCCGCTCGCAGGGGCACCCCTCAGCGGGTCAGCCACGCTGGAGGCGGAGGGCGGGGCCGCGCCGGCGGGTGCGCGCCCGAGGCGTCCGGGGCGGCTGGAGTGTAGGTGAGACGGAAGGCAGCCTGGGAGCGCGCGTGGCCGCACGTGCACGCGCCCGCCCTCCAGCCGCGCGCCCACGCGCCCGCCCGCACTCCCGGGAAGTCTCGCGATGCCGTAGCCGGCTGCTCCCGCAGCGGGTGGCTCTGGCTGTTGCTGTGGTTGCCTGAGTTGCTGCTGCTGCTGCGGCGGCGGCTACGGCGGTGCTGGTAGCGGTGTCGGCCCTTGGGCGGATGTTGACATTGTGTTGTTGTTATTGCTGACGGTAATGGCGGCGGCGGCGGCGGCCGGGACCCCATCTCCTCTGTAGCCAGAGCCGACACAGCCAGCAGCGAACTCCGCGGCCTCGGAGCCCGGCGGCGGCTCCCCTCAGTCTCCGCCGCCTCGCCGGCGGGTCTCCCAGCCCCAGCTCCTGGAGTCGGGCTCCTTCGGGCAGGGGGCCGCGGAGGCTCAGGATGGCGGATTTCGACGAGATCTATGAGGAGGAGGAGGACGAGGAGCGGGCCCTGGAGGAGCAGCTGCTCAAGTACTCGCCAGACCCGGTGGTGGTCCGCGGCTCCGGTCACGTCACCGTGTAAGGCCCGGAGGAGGGCGAGGGCGAGGACGGGAGGTTCAGGGCTGGGGTGGGTCTCCCCTTAGTCCGTGGGAGCCCGTTGTCGGTCTGCGTCGGGGGCCTTCGAGAAGAGTAATAATCGACCAGGAAGTGAAAACTTGGTTTATTTTCATTTCTTTAGGTCTCTGAAGTGGGGACAAACACTGCCCTTTCACCCACCCTTGTACCCCCTTTATTTAGCAGGCCCCATAGGCCGGGGCGAGCGGTTGGATCCCCAAAGGGAAGATTTTTTTTCCAGGGTCTGCCCTTAGGGGCCACCCGTCAGTTTCGGGGTGGAAGTACTCGCATTAATGCGATGCCTCCCCCTTGTTTTCTCATCCAGTTACTCTCTCTACGCCTGTGCCTTTGAGCCTAGTGACATACGGCTCAGAGGCCAGAGCTGGGCCTTCTGAGACCCTAAGTGACAGCCGGTAATGAGGTTCACTGTTGTGTGTGTGTTTCCTATCTCATACCCACAGGTCTACCCAGTGCCTTGCAGAGTCTGTCTCTGCAGAAGTAATGCAAGTTGCTGTAACTGAGTATGATGCAAGTGTATAGGTGAACCTATATTTAAGACATGCATAAAGATGCATGTTTACAACAATCACAAAAAATCTTACTGTGATGGACACTGCTTAGGTTACTGAGCGTTTTCTGTCATCAAAGTCCCTCCTTTGGCCATGAACCCTGGGAGAGTGCCTTCGTTTGATAAGAGTTGCCAGTAAGTCTGATTAGCAACATTGAAAAGTCCGGGATTATTGAAACAGTAAAGAATAAAAGCTTTCTGAAAGGTCATGAGTAATAAAGGAATGTGAAGACTTGAACCAAATAATGAGCTGTCCGGAAGCAGGAAGTTTTGTCATGTTTCTTGGAGAAGTCCAGAGTTTTGTACAGCATTAAGTATTTCTATTCCTTGTCATTTTAGATCTCTTGTGCAAACCTTAGCTCACACTTCCATGCTGGTCAGCTGTCTTCACACTTTACTTTTTTGGTCAAATTAAAGTGCCAACAAGCCTGGTACAGTTTTCATTGTGTTTTTTGGTACAAGGTGAGTGGGATGTGTGTGCAGTGAGTAACTTTTGAGTGAAACAGTTAACACGAGCTTGACAGCAGGCTTGTTCTAAGCTCTTAGTTCAGATCTACCCTTGGGTTTCTCAGTACATGCTATGACCAGCCATGTTGTTGTTTAGGTATGCTTATGTAATGCTTTGATATATTCAGCACCTGTAGTTTATATTCAGGTGACTTAACAGGGTAAAAACACTGCATAATTTGGCTTAGTGCCAAGAGAAGACAATGGGATTTATGGCCACAATAACAGTTACTAAGTGTTTTAACTGTTGTCGCCAGCAAAATTAAGAACTGCAATCACATATCATGGGCATTAAGTCTGTAATGTGTATGACAAACTTTTTAGCCTCATAGCCTGCCATTTTTAGCCTCATAGCCTGCCATTTTAGCTTGGACTCAGGCCTGTTTTTTATTTTAAAGCTAAACAATATACATGTTTAAAGAAGAAATTTTCAAACTTTTATGTTGTCTGCCCACCTGGTGCCCTACATTCCTCATGTCATAGAAAACCTGGCAAATTTTGTTACTTAGAAAGGTACAGCTATAGTTGTAGTGTTTTTGTTGTTTAAGGAAAAGCTGAGAACTTTTTTGGGTAATGAAAAATATAATGGGTGCTTAGAACTAAATAGATGATTAGTAAATTTGATTGTAGTTAACTACTGACAGATTAATAGGGTAGGACAGAATTATTAGTGTTTCTCAGTCTTAGTTGTCCATTAGAATCCCCTTTTTATTTATTTTAAGATTTATTTATACATATACATATATACAAGAACTGGGGTACAGGCCAGAGGTGCAGAGATTGGGAAGATTCACCAGAGACAAGGTGGGGAGCAGAAGAGGCAGATTGACTGAAATACACTGCTGAGGGGAGCAGTGGGTGGGACAGGAGACATCTGCTGCACCTTGCAGGTCACCTCCCTGGGGGAGGATTGAACTCGGGCTGCAGTGGTTTCAGTGGCTTCAGGTACCTCCATGTACCTCCATGTGCTGTATTTTAATTCCTTGCGCCACCAGAGAGGACTCAGAATCTCCTTTTTAAAAAAAAGTCCCAGACCAGTTAAAGGTCAAGAACTTGAGTAAAGGTCCCAGGTGTGAATAGTTTTATTTTTAAAATCCCTCAGGTGATTCTAATGCGTAGTTGGCTTTGAAAACCATTGTCCAGCTCATAAGACAGAACTATTGAATGAATATATGCCACTTATCTTTTTTAGAGTTACTCTTTCTGTCATATCCTTTAGCCACTACATTCTTTTTCTGATTATCTTGGTCCTAAGCTCTGCATTTCAGATCTACCCCCTGCCAGTTCTTCGGTAAATTATTTATGTCTCTTTAGTTAAGATGGGGATAATTATAGTCTCTAACTTTTAAGATTATTAAGGATTAAATGAGACTGGCTCTCCCTGGTTGGTGTAAGGTATTAAAACACAGCTCTGTGAAGCTCTCCCCAGTCACTGCAGCATGAGTTCAGTCCCTAGCCAGAGAGGTGACCCGCATGGCACAGCAGGTCTCTCCTTTCCCACCTGCTGCTGCCCTGAGCAGTATTTCAGTCATCTGCCTTTTCTGTTCCCACCTGTCTCTGGTGAATCCTCTTAACCCCGCTCTCTGGCCTGTACTCCAGTTCTTATGTGCATGAATAAATGAACCTTTAAAAAAAAAATACAGCATTGAATATATCTTTGGTAATGTAAAGTAAGATACACTAAACATTTTAATTGGATCAACTGCTAGAACTTCTCAATAGGTAAACTTTTTTAAATGAGAAATATAGTAGTAATCTTATTTGAATTTGAAAATTCATATGGTAGTTCAGTCCAAATAATTTATTGTTGGATTCTGCCTACCAACAGAGGTGAAATTGACTAGTAGTTAAAATTTTATGTAACTAAGTGGAATACAGAAATAAATGGTGAAAAGTAAATTATATGAAATTATAATGGTAAATAATTAAGTCCTTTTATTACTTTAATAATATTACATAATAGTATTATTCTAAAATATACTTTTGATTTGAGAGCCACTTTGAATACTAACTTTCGCTTATATTCCTAGCAAGTTAAAGGGCTAGGAAATTAGTCCAGCTATATCCTCAAAAGGGAATATTTTTAAGTCTTTATAGTATCTATATCTGCCTTAGCTTTCTAACCTGTTAACATTTCTTCTCAATAAAATTAAAGTTTAAATAACTTGAAGCTTCTTTGTTTGTAGGTATCCTTATTTAGATTCTTTGGTGAAAGATTTTTTTTGTGATTTATCAAAGTTTGTTTTAGAATTGCTTTATAGTTGAAATTTTGTGTCAGTGTTTCCATGGTCATGAAGTCTAGTTTTATCACAGTTCAGGATTTCTTAAATTTGCCTGATTGTCAGAATCACTAAAGCTTAAAAAACTCCAGTATTTTAGATTCTTACCTCAAACATCCCCAACCAAAATCTTTAGGGGAAAAGTATGAATTTTTGTTTTTAATAAAAGCTTGGATAATTATATCTGATAATTAGGAAAGCAATGGATGATATTGTAGAATGAGTATGGTCTTTGATGTGGAGCAGATGGGTTTCAGTCCTCAGATACTTCCTAATTGACCATTAACCTTTCTGAAATTTAGTTTTCTTGTTTGCAGAAGGGATAGTATCTACTATCAGAGACTATGAATGAACACCATAGGTAATTTTTCTAATGTGATCTCGTGATGGACTTTCAGCAAGTTATTACTTATCATTTACTTTGATGTTTTGCACTTTTTTTTTGGTCAAACTTCTTAACCATTTGCTTAGAAAAAGTTGACATGATTTCTTGCTTTAAAACATGATCCAGAGTATAAATCAGAATTATCTGATTGAGCAGAGAAATCATTTAATCATAAGATTTCAGTTTGGTACACAATGCTGCTGTTCTCACAGACTGATATATGTTAGAGTTTGAGGTTCTTTAAATGGCTTTTTTATTATTTCATGTGTGGACTTTTGCTGTTTACCATCTTTCTATCTGATTGATCAACTGTAGCTTGGAAATGAAACAACCAGCCTTTTTAGAACTATGTCTTATTAAGTAAGAGAAGTTGATTCTAAGTGTTGCATTTAGATGCTTGAATTCTAATAGCTGGATTTTTAAATGCTTACTTTTGTTTCCTTATTTTTTTGTTTCATCTTTCATTATCAGGTGTCTTATTGAGGTTTCCTGATGAGTAATTAACACATATCCTGCTAGGTATTCCTTAAGGCTCTGGGTATATAGTTAAAGAATGAAGGACACATAGTTCCTCTGCTCTCATGGGACTTAACAGCTCAATAGATGAGCTATATTTGAGAAGATTGCTATGAAGGAGAAAAATAAAATAGTATGATGATTGAAAATAATTGTTATAACTAGAATGAACTTCTCTGAGGAGGTAACATTTAGTAAGCTTGCAAGAGTTGTGAAGAGCACCTCAGTTATGGAAAACAGCAGGTGCAAGACTAAACAAAAATAAGCTTGGTTTGCCTGAGGAATTCTGATGGATACTTCTGTATTGTGGCTAGAATGTGGCAAAGGGAAGAGTGCCTGGGAGTGATGTTAGGGCAAGGGGATTATAGAAGAAATACTGTGATACTGGACGAGGAGTTAGAGGGAGTCTGGATGAGACATTTAGTGACCTGGTCTCTGGGTGGTTTCTTTAGCTAAAGGAGGTGTTACCTTTTGGCTGTCCACCATCAGATTGCACAACAAAGTTTGGAAAAACATAGCAGTGGTCATTTTTGCTATCTCATTCTTGAGTAGTGAAGGTTTTTTGTTTGTTTTTGTCTTGGCTTTTTGGAAGGTGAGGTCAAAGAACTATAACTGCCCATCCTGTAGATTGCAAACTGACTTGATGACATACCTGCTCTTCCTGTTCTGCTGCCTCAGGAAACTAATAGGCCAAGAGAACAGCCTGTGC